AGTCAAGAGTGGTGTCTTGAAATTTGCGAAAGAGAGCAAGGAGAGAGCGAAGGTCCTGTCGGTCGTACTGAGTGGACAGGGTTTTCCAGAGGCCAGAGGAGGAGGTGGGGCGGAGGTCACGTTTGAGATGGGAAGGGATGCAGGAGAAGATAATGGCTAGAGCGCGGCGATCCGCAATTCGCCATGCTGCAGTATCCTTGTTGAACTTGCGAAGTTCATCAGCATAGTCTTTCTCATCCTGTGCGTAGGAGAGGATACGCGCAGTAGCATCAGCGTGAGCCTTCTCAGCAGCACGGTGCGCCTCACGCTGGATGGTGTAGGCATCGCGAAGCTTGTTGTAGTTGTTCAAGTTGGCCGCCCATCGATCTGGGTTGTCATCATGAACTGGGGCACGAGGGGGATCAGACAGAGGCTCTGGGGGAGGAGGGGCATCAGGAGGAGGAGGCTCAAGAGGAGGAGGGGGGACGGGTGGAAGGCCGTTAGGGTGCTCAAGAACTACATCAAGAAGACAGTAGTCTTGAACAATGACAGAGCCAAGGTGGGTGTGAAGTGTGTCCTCAAACGACGCCCAGTTCACGGCCGTAGTGTCATGGAGGAGTTCGAGCTTATCGATAGCTCCGAGTTCAATGGGAGTAGAGTCGTCCGCCATGGGGGGGGGGGGGGGGGGAGAGGGTGACGACACCGGCTGGAGGGCGGGTGCGGTCAAAGACGACACCACCTGGAGGGGTGGCGCGGTCACGTTGCGTGCGGCAGCGCTTCGTCACCCGCGGCTGCCCCTTGTCGCCCGCGGCTGCGTCTCGTCGCCCGCGGCTGCGCCTCGTCGCCTGCAGCTGTGCCTTGACGACACGCGGCTGCTCCTGGACGCGTCCGCAGCGGTCGCCCTCGCTGGTCGCGTCCGCGGCGTCCGCACGCGCTGGTCGTGTCCGCAGCGTCGCCCTCGCTGGTCGCGTCCGCGGCGTCCGCCCGCGCTGGTCGCGTCCGCGGCGTCCGCCCGCGCTGGTCGCGTCCGCGGCGTCCGCCCTCGCTGGTCGCGTCCGCGGCGTCCGCCCTCGCTGGTCGCGTCCGCGGCGTCCGCCCGCGCTGGTCGCGTCCGCGGCGTCCGCCCTCGCTGGTCGCGTCCGCGGCGTCCGCCCTCGCTGGTCGCGTCCGCGGCGTCCGCCCTCGCTGGTCGCGTCCGCGGCGTCCGCCCGCGCTGGTCGCGTCCGCGGCGTCCGCCCTCGCTGGTCGCGTCCGCGGCGTCCGCCCTCGCTGGTCGCGTCCGCGGCGTCCGCCCCCGCTGGTCGCATCCGCGGCGGTCGCCCTCGCTGGTCGCGTCCGCGGCGTCCGCCCTCGCTGGTCGCGTCCGCGGCGTCCGCCCTCGCTGGTCGCGTCCGCGGCGTCCGCCCGCGCTGGTCGCGTCCGCGGCGTCCGCCCCCGCTGGTCGCGTCCGCGGCGGTCGCCCTCGCTGGTCGCGTCCGCGGCGTCCGCCCCCGCTGGTCGCGTCCGCGGCGGTCGCCCGTTCTCGTCGCGTCCGCGGCCGTCGTTCGTCGCGGGTGTGGCGTCCGCCCGCGATTAGGGTTTCGTCGGTCCCGGCGGTCGCCGATGCTCGTCGCGGGTGTGGCGTCCGCCCGCGATTAGGGTTCCGTCGCTCGTGCTGGCCGTCCCGACGGTCGCGCTGGTCGTTCCGACGGTTGCGCAGATCGTTCCGACGGTTGCGCGGATCGTTCCGACGGTTGGCGTGGCCGTTCCGACGGTTGATGGGTTAGTGGGAGAGAGGGGAGAGCCGCGAGAGGCGGAATTGACTGTAGAAAGGAGGGAGGGGGGCGCTGAAATTTAGCGCAAGGGGGGGGGGGGGCGTGACGGCGTAGGGGCGCACTAGGCGCAAAGGGCGACGTAGTGTCGCGTGAGAGAGGGGGGCGTGATATAGCACGCGGTATGTGCGGTCCTTAGGATCGAGATGGTGTGAGCCGTAGTTGCTCTGAATACCATGTGAGAAATTGTAAGAACAACCGATAGTTTCATTAGGAAGGGCATGGGTTTACATAGTTGAGCTAGGATGTAGGAGCCATGCCAACATTATTGGCCCCCACCAATAAGTTGGGTTGAGGAGTTATTGGGGGGACCAATAATGTTGACCAAAAGTGGGTCAACATTATTGGGGGGGCCAATAATCTCCCAACCCAACCTTGGGGGCCCAATAATTGGGCCAAGGTTGGGTTCCAACCTCAAACTAGGGTAAACCCTAGTTGTGCACCCAAACTAAGTTTGGGTGCCTATCTCTAGTCAAAGCGTATATGATGATGCAGGTTACAATGAAGATGGTAATCTGACAGAGACGCTGCGCAGTGTCGATGAGGCGCCGAGTGAAGGCAGCAGCAGTGGGGGATGAGTCAAGAGTGGTGTCTTGAAATTTGCGAAAGAGAGCAAGGAGAGAGCGAAGGTCCTGTCGGTCGTACTGAGTGGACAGGGTTTTCCAGAGGCCAGAGGAGGAGGTGGGACGAAGGTCACGTTTGAGATGGGAAGGGATGCAGGAGAAGATAATGGCTAGAGCGCGGCGATCCGCAATTCGCCATGCTGCAGTATCCTTGTTGAACTTGCGAAGTTCATCAGCATAGTCTTTCTCATCCTGTGCGTAGGAGAGGATACGCGCAGTAGCATCAGCGTGAGCCTTCTCAGCAGCACGGTGCGCCTCACGCTGGATGGTGTAGGCATCGCGAAGCTTGTTGTAGTTGTTCAAGTTGGCCGCCCATCGATCTGGGTTGTCATCATGAACTGGGGCACGTAGGCATGATCAATAGGCCCGACCCGACCCGACCCGACCCGACTTGGGCGGGCCAGCCGGGTTCCGGGTCGGGTCGGGTCGGGTCGGACCTTTCAAGATCTCTGGCCCGACCCGGGTATCGGGTGCCGGGTCAGGCTTGACCCGCCCCCGGGTCGGGTCGGGTAGGGGCCGGGTCGGGTCGGGTCGGGCTAGACCCCCATATGCAGGGTATAACTTATTATTAAAAAAAACCAGAATGGATGGCGTGATGTGCGAATAACTTATAAAAAACGATTGGCTGAGTACTAACTAAACATTATCGTAGGTTATAGGGTAGATTAGTATGCCAATGTTGCTGGGTGGGTGGCTGCTGGCGTCACTAGCTAGTTATCTAATCTTAAACCAGATCGAAATGCTAGTTGCGGGGAAACAACACAAACGCGATTGCGATCTGGCTAACTTTGTCGAGAGGAAACCCTCGGGTCGGGCCAAATACCCGACCCGACATAGGGCGCGGTACTCGAAACCGGGTCGAGTCCCTACTCGGGTCGAAACCCGACCCGACCCGACCCGACCCGGAATCGGGTCTCGAGTCGACCCGACCCGCCCAGGTATACCCGACCCGACCCGGCCGGGTCAGCGGTTCGGAACACCTGACCCGACCCGGGTCAAAACCCGGGTCGGGTCGGGTCGACCCGACCCGCCGGGGCACCCTGCTCATGCCTAGGGGCACGAGGGGGATCAGACAGAGGCTCTGGGAGAGGAGGGGCATCAGGAGGAGGAGGCTCAAGAGGAGGAGGGGGACGGGTGGAAGGCCGTTAGGGTGCTCAAGAACTACATCAAGAAGACAGTAGTCTTGAACAATGACAGAGCCAAGGTGGGTGTGAAGTGTGTCCTCAAACGACGCCCAGTTCACGGCCGTAGTGTCATGGAGGAGTTCGAGCTTATCGATAGCTCCGAGTTCAATGGGAGTAGAGTCGTCCGCCATGAGGGGGAGGAGGGGGGGGGGGGAGAGGGTGACGACACCGGCTGGAGGGCGGGTGCGGTCAAAGACGACACCACCTGGAGGGGTGGCGCGGTCACGTTGTGTGCGGCAGCGCTTCGTTGCCCGTGGCTGCACCTTGTCGCATGCGGCTGCGCCTTTGTCGCACGCGGCTGCTCCTGGACGCGTCCGCGGCGGTCGCCCCCGCTGGTCGCGTCCGCGGCGGTCGCCCGTTCTCGTCGCGTCCGCGGCCGTCGTTCGTCGCGGGTGTGGCGTCCGCCCGCGATTAGGGTTTCGTCGGTCGCGGCGGTCGCCGATGCTCGTCGCGGGTGCGGCGTCCGCCCGCGAGTAGGGTTCCGTCGCTCGCGCTGGCCGTCCCGACGGTCGCGCTGGTCGTTCCGACGGTTGCGCGGATCGTTCCGACGGTTGATGAAGGGAGAGAGGGGAGAGCCGCGAGAGGCGGAATTGACTGTAGAAAGGAGGGAGGGGGACGCTGAAATTTAGCGCAAGGGGAGGGGGGCCGTGACGGCGTAGGGCCGCACTAGGCGCAAAGAGCGACGTAGTGTCGCGTGAGAGAGGGGGGCGTGATATAGCACGCGGTATGTGCGGTCCTTAGGATCGAGATGGTGTGAGCCGTAGTTGCTCTGAATACCATGTGAGAAAGTGTAAGAACAACCGATAGTTTCATTAGGAAGGGCATGGGTTTACATAGTTGAGCTAGGATGTAGGAGCCATGCCAACATTATTGGCCCCCACCAATAAGTTGGGTTGAGGAATTATTGGGGGGACCAATAATGTTGACCAAAAGTGGGTCAACATTATTGGGGGGGCCAATAATCTCCCAACCCAACCTTGGGGGCCCAATAATTGGGCCAAGGTTGGGTTCCAACCTCAAACTAGGGTAAACCCTAGTTGTGCACCCAAACTAAGTTTGGGTGCCTATCTCTAGTCAAAGCTTATATGATGATGCAGGTTACAATGAAGATGGTAATCTGACATATAGGCCACTCGGCTTCTGGCCGTTTGGGACTTAAACTGTGGCAAAGGCACTTCCACTTTGTCCTTTTCGCCTGCTTGTCCCACCTGCCTTTTCTCAACCTAATCAACCTTGTTTATCCTCCCGCTCTCCATTGATCTCTCTTCCTCTTCTCACCCCAAATCTGTAAACCACCTTCTTCACCTAGTCTTGGCTAATCTGCTTTCTTCGGCTAGTTTTAGCTAGTCTACCTCCTTTCCCCGTGTCCTTACCTCCTTCTCCTCCCTGCGGTGCGAGTGCAGCAACTTGCAGAAGATGAGTTTGAACGACTCGCTCCCAGACGCGTGGGCCAGCATGGCTTCCCTCAAGCACCTCGTTGCGCACAGCGCCGGCATCCGCAGCCGCTTCCCCGCCTTCCTGCTCAAGCTCAGAAACATCTCCGACATGTGCGGTGCGGACGATGAGTGCATTTGATTGTGCGTGCACGCTAGGATGGCTGCTCTCCAGGTTCTGTTTGCGGACAGCGCCGGCATCCGCAGCCGCTTCCCTGCCTTCCTGCTCGAGCTCAGAAACATCTCCGACATGTGCGGTGCAGACAAGTGCTTTTGATTGTGCGTGCACGCTAGAACGGGTGCATGTGAAGACGAGTCCATATTTTCATGCTCGTGTGGCTGAGGCATGCTCGTGTGGCTGAGGAATGCTCGTACGACTACAGATGTTTTTGTGACCATGGCATGCTTGTGCCATTTTTCAGTGGGTACAAAGTCTAGCAAGCCTCCTCTCGTTTCAAGTGCTCATACCCTTTCGTTTCTAGCACCGAGTTCTGTTGAGACATCTTTTGAATACTTTCCTCCCAGATTTCCCTCTTCTCTTTTCCTCCCTTGCACTCTCATGTACAGCAACAAGCTGTGTTCAGATGGCTCACAAGTGCCTTTCAATTCAACTAACACGACTCCCTCCGCCCCCCTCTGTCCTCCCCTTCCTTGCAGCCTCATGTCCAGCAACGAAATGTGGGGGCCTCTGCCTCCCACTGCTGATCTCTTCGCCCAAAAGTCGCTCACCAGCCTGTAAGCACCACACCCACTAGCCTTTTTTTCAATGCAAAAAGTATGTACCTTAGAGAAGGGGGAACAAAAAGGGGGTGGGGAGGGGGGGAATGGGGTTCTGAGCAGAATTTTGGTCCTCATTTCAAGCCGCCAACGTGATATTATCGTTAAAAGCTTTACAATTTAGTATATGTTGTAACATATACCATTGTGTATGTTCCCGATTTGTAGCCTGGTTGGTGATTATGCTACACCACCTTCCCACATTTGTGTTAATTTGCACGTACACTTTTGCATGTGTATATTGTAGAGTAGTTTGGGTTACACTTTAGGAGGTATAGGTTTGGTACATGTCTTATTTTTATGCTCTCATTCTACTCGTTGTTTATTTCTCTGTTATAGTATCAAATTGGCTTAGGTCATCGCTTCCGCGTCGCCTCAGTATACAGGTTCGATATGTAGCTCATCTGCATGACCTCATTCCTTCTTTCTCTGACAATTTTCCCTCTCCCGCTCTCGCCTTTCCACTCCCAACATAGCACCTGCTTCCCCTCCCTTATCCTCTCCTCCCGTCTCTCTCCCTCTCGCTGCCCCACCCGAAATCCCTGCCACATCTGCAGGGACCTGAGCTCGAACTACCTCACTGGGAGTGTGCATTTTGAGGCGCCTCAAAAGGCTTTCCTTGTCCTCTCCTCCCGTCTCTCTCTCTCGCCCCCCCATTCGAAATTCCGGCCACATTGTCAGGGACCTGAGCTCCAACTACCTCACAGGGAGTGTGCCGCAGCTGCCTGCTGGCCGCAGCATCGAATTCAAGTGCGTCCGTTCTTCGACGAATGACGCTCGTGGGTTTTTTTTTTTTTCCTTTCGAAGGGGATTGCTCTGTAGTGACGCTCTATCTCTCTCTCCCTCCTACATCCATTAACAATTCCATTTCCCTCTGCCCCTCTTTTCCGCCCTCAGGTTCTTCACCAACTGCTTTAACGCGTCAGTAGGCGCCGTGCTGATGGACGAGAACCCGCGGTCCACCACAGATTGCACGCAGTTCTACTTCACCCTTGACCAAGGTGTGGCGACGCCCCTCCATGCTCATGATACATTTCTGCATCTTCTCGTCGTACCATAATCTCCCTGATCAACCACCCTAGGGTCGTAATCAAGCAAACAACAACAGAAAAATGGGCTGTTTGCTACAAGCGGGAAATGAAAAACATGTAAAGGAAACAAAGATTGCAGTTAGCCTGCACCTTCATATTTCAAGCCAGACGAGCGAAAGTGGGTGCAAGTCGATAACGCCGGGTCCCACTAGAATATCAGGTGGCAGAATCTAGTGGCTCAAGCGCTTTTCCTACCCGTCGCCCTCGCTTTCTCTATATTTCGCTATCGTTTTTCCTTCACTCTCATCGCTCTCGATCCTATCGCGTTGCTCGTCAACCTCGTTCGCCTGGGCGTTACCTTTTCATTGCACGATTCCTAACGTAGCTTTCCCTCACCTATAAAATTACACTTCTAGGTGAGGAGAGGGGTGTTATAGATAATACACCCAAAAGGGGGGTTATAATAAAAATGAGCCGTAGGACGCACTCACCCCGCATAAGCTTCCCGGGGGTCTTCAATTACGGCAGGTGGCTTAACCTGGTGTTTACAATACTCATCTCTGCCGTGCTGTGCCATGCCTGCCCTGGCCTACCTTAATGTTCTCTCTCACCTCGTGCCAGAGAATGACTCACATTGCCAGTAACTCTTTCTTTCTCCCTACCACACCCACCTTGCCTTCCATCTCTACACCACACCCTCTTACCCCTACCCTCCCTTCTCTCTGTGTCCTCCTCTCCCCTGTGCTTCTCCCATCCCCTCGCAGGGAGACCGCCAACACCTGCCCTCCCCTCCTCTTCTCCTGCCGCTCTCCCCACATCCAACACCAGTGTTGCCAACAGCCCCTCTCCCCCCACATCCCCCTCACCTTCCCCCTCACCGACCCCCTCCACCATGCCCACTGCGTCCCCCCCTACCTCCCTTAGTAGGCCCAGCAGCAGCCTTTGCCCCCTTTCCTTCCCCACTATAGCGTCCTGCCTGCTGGTGCTGCTGGCTGCTGCCATGGTGTGAGAGGGGAGAAAGTGTGGGGGGATAGGGTAGGGCGGAGGTGTGGAGATGACTCTTTTAGAGGTGACTTTTTCAGAGGTGACTCTTTCAGAGGTGACCCCCTAGAGGTGGTGACTCTTTTAGAGGTGACTCTTTTAGACGTGACTTTTTTTATGCTGTCTTAAGGCTGCCTAGTCATATGGTGTGAGTGGGGAGGATGTGTGTACCTGTCTCCTGCTAGTCATGCTCATTCTGCCTCTCCGCTGTACGTACTTTGAGATCCACATACACATAATGAGGGTGCTTCACTACAGGGTTGGGAAAGAATATATGCCAAGAGAAGCAACAAAAGGTGCACCACCCACACATACTGTTTAATATAATTACACTACGCTAGGCGTTATACCGTATGAGATGTATGCGAACATACGGTATTGACACATTCACATCACATCAGAATTGCACCATTTGGCCAGGTGGCACAACCAGCCTTATTCCACAACACCACAAAACCAGACCCTGTTTTACACCACCTACACTGAACCACATAACGTGGACCCCCCATACTACACATCACATGGAAGCAACGTTCCTCAAGCACCCCATACTGAGGAAAGAACGTCCCTCAAACCCCCTCACACCGTGCCCTCACACCGTGCCCTCATGCGCCCCAATGGGCACAGGCGGCCTGTTGCCATGCACACCCGTTGACATCTGCACGCTCCCCGCTCCCCCATTCCCCTCCCCTCCCCCGTCCTCCCCACTCCCCTCCCCTCCCCCACCCGCACGCGCGATGATGATCGGCTGCGACTGGCAATTCCTAAACGTGAACCCATCCCCTGCCTTCCCACCCGCACCACCGTTTGCAGCACCACCAGCAACCGGGTTCCCAGGCGAATCCCCCGTGTAGCTGCCCGAGGTGTCGGGCAGGCTGCCCGAAAAAAAAGGCTGCTGCGAGCCATAGTCATCATAGGAGTAGCCATAGCTGTACTCGGAGGAGGCGGTGGAGGAGGGCAGCACCACCACGCGCCCCAGATGCTCCACCAGTGCCTGCGCCACGTCCCTGATGGCTGGTCGGTCCGCAGAGCGGTCCTGTGCGGTACCAGGGAGTTGGTGGAGGGAGGCGGGGGTGGGGGGGTGGGGAGGGGGGTTGGGTGGCGGGGTGGGGAGGGGAAACGGCTAAGATACGGGGTGTGAGGATCGGCACTACACGCCTCAGAATGGGAGGGGTGGGAAGGGGGTCAGCAGGGTCCAGTGCACGCACACACGCATAAACCTCTCAGCTAATGCACCCCACTCGCACCTGCACACATGCCCCTCTCACCTGCACGCAGCTCCGGGCAATGTCACACAGTATCTGCGCCTCATGCAGGTCGTAGTCGCTGCCCAGAGCCGGGTCCAGCAGCTCCACCAGACGCTCGCTGTCCATCAGATACTCCTCCGCCTGGTGGTAGGGAGAGGCAGAGGCAGAGGGGGATGAGGAGACAGAGGCACAATACAAGGCAGCAGCGGCAAGGAAGGGGGATGGAAAGGCTACTGGCTTCAGCGGGGTCCAGCAGCTCCACCAGGCTCTCGCTGTCCATCAGGTACTCCTCAGCGTGGAAGGATGCAGAGGTGTTGAAGACACAGAGACAGAAGCACCAGGGCAAGTCAACTAGCGCGGATGGATGGAAAAGGCGAGTGGTGAGAAGTCCAGCTCACGCATGGGAAGGCAGATGGGGACGGGGGTGGTGAGGAGGAAATGCGGTTCGAGTGAAGTAGGTGTGGTGTGAGAGTGATACTTACTCTGGAAGCATGGGGTTGTCTCCCTTGACTGCAATAGTTACACCGGCACAACCACAGCGCTCCCAGAGCTGCTTCTCATGGATCAGCATTTCCAGGCACACAGGCACATAGATAGCTGTGCACGTTGCTCCATGCCTCATGCACACACACACATTGCCACTATCCTGTGCTCCCACTAACCCAATAAGCTATAGGCTGTTTCTCGTGGATGCTGTATTTCCCACCAAGCCACTCCACCAGCACCGCCCCATAGATGGGGCACACACATTGGTGCGGAGCATGTGTTGACTTGATGCATATGTCAAGTCAAAGCATGCTCCTGCACGCACATTGCCACTCCCAATTGTTCCCACTCACCCAGTATGCGAGAGGTTGCTTCTCGTGAATGGCGTACTTCCCACTGAGCAGCTCCAGCAGCACCACCCCGTAGCTGTACACGTCGCTCTTGTCGGTGAGCAGCGATGTGCTCACATACTGGGGGTCCAGGTACCCGAACGAGCCCCCCTGTATGCCCACTCACTCCCATGCGTTCAGCTTACCCAATACGCAAGTGGTTGCTTCTCGTGAATGGCGTACTTGCCACTCAACAGCTCCAGCAGCACCACCCCGTAGCTGTACACATCGCTCTTGTCGGTCAGCAGTGATGTGCTCACATACTCAGGGTCCAGGTACCCGAACGAGCCCCCACATAGCCGTTCATTCAATTCACACCACGCGTAATGCAGCACAGGCACCACCCACTCTCATGCCATGCGTTGTCCTTACCCAGTAAGCCAGAGGTTGCTTTTCGTGAATGGCATACTTGCCACTGAGCAGCTCCAGCAAAACGACCCCGTAGCTGTAAACATCGCTCTTGTCGGTCAGCAGCGATGTGCTCACATACTCGGGGTCCAGGTACCCAAACAGTCCAGTCCAGTCCAAGTACCTGAACGAGCCCCGCACCCAGTATGCCCACTCACTCCCATGCGTTGAGCTTACCCAATACGCAAGTGGTTGCTTCTCGTGAATCGCGTATTTCCCCGAAAGCAGCTCCAGCAGCACGACCCCGTAGCTGTAAACATCGCTCTTGTCGGTGAGCAGCGACGTGCTCACATACTCAGGGTCCAGGTACCCGAACGAGCCCCGCACCGCCGTGGTGGGCGGCAGCAGCTGCGGCTGGCCTTCTGGCGTCACGTCCACCGGCACCTCCTTGCACAGCCCGAAATCCGCGACTTTCGCCAAGCCGTCCTCCGAGAGAAGGATGTTGCCTGACTTGATGTCGCTAGGGTGAGCAAGGCAGGTAGACGGCAGGGGAAGGAGGGGGTGAGGGGAGGCTGGCCTTCTGGCGTCACGTCCACCGGCACCTCCTTGCACAGCCCGAAGTCTGCTACTTTTGCCAAGCCATCTTCTGAGAGCAAGATGTTGCCTGATTTGATGTCGCTGGGGTAGGGGGAAGGGAGCGGGTGGAGGGGGGAAATGGGGTGGGTGAGAGGGGGCTGGCCTTCTGGCGTGACGTCCACCGGGACCTCCTTGCACAGCCCGAAGTCCGCCACCTTGGCTAGACCGTCCTCCGAGAGCAGGATGTTGCCTGACTTGATGTCACTGAGGGTTGGGGAAGGGTTTTGAAGGGGGGGGATGGGGTGGGTGAGAGGAGGCTGGCCTTCTGGCGTCACGTCCACCGGCACCTCCTTGCACAGCCCAAAGTCTGCTACCTTTGCCAGGCCGTCTTCTGAGAGCAAGATGTTGCCCGACTTGATGTCGCTGGGAAGGGCCAGCGAGAGGGCAAAGGGGGAAGGGTTGTGAGAGGGGGCTGGTGGCATCACGTCCACTGGAACCTCCTTGCACAGCCCAAAATCAGCCACCTTGGCTAGGCCGTCTTCTGAGAGCAGAATGTTGCCTGACTTGATGTCGCTGGGGTGGGGGAAAGGAGGGAAGGGAGGTGGGGGGAGAGGTTTGATTGGTGAGGGGAGGCTGGCCTTCCGGAGTGACGTCCACCGGCACCTCCTTGCACAGCCCAAAGTCTGCTACTTTTGCCAAGCTGTCTTCTGACAGGAGGATGTTGCCTGACTCGATGTCGCCGAGAGGTGGGGAAGGGACGGGAGGGAGTGGGAGGGAGGGGGATGAGTGCCTGAGAGGAGGCTGGCCTTCAGGCGTCACGTCCACCGGCACCTCCTTGCACAGCCCGAAGTCTGCTACCTTGGCTAGACCGTCCCCTGACAAGAGAATGTTGCCTGACTTGATGTCGCTGTGCCTCATCACCACCTCACACGCTCAACGGTGGATAAGAGGTGGGTCGGCACCATAGTGTAGATAGTCAATGCCGAGGGTGTGGGGAACGGTTAAAAAGCCTTTCTGGTAAATGGGGGAGGACCAAGCCTCTGTGCCTCACCACCACCTCACACGCTCACCGGTGAATGAGCGGTGGGCCGTAGTGCAGGTAGACAATACCGAGCATGTGGGATGGGGCGATCTTGATGGGAGGACCACGACCCCAATCCCCCGTCACAGCTTCACCGACTCATAGCCTCACAGGTGGGCAGCGGTTGAAAAGCCTCACCGGTGAATGAGTGGGGGGTGCCGTAGCAAGTCACCGGTGAATGAGTGGGGGGGCATCGTTGAAATGCTTCACACGCTCACCGGTGGATGAGTGGGGGGTCGGCACCATAATGCAGGTAGTCAATGCCGAGAGCCACGTGGATGGCGATCTTGATGCGCGAGTCCCATGACAGGGGTGTCTCTTTGGCATTGGGGCCTGGGGGTGTGGGGTGGGTAGGTGGGGAGGAGGGGGACATGCAGGTAAGCCAGGAGAGCCACGTGGATGGCGCGAGTCCCATGAGAGAGGGGTATCCTTGGCGCTGGGGCCTGGGGAAGGGGGGTTGGATGGGGAAAGAGTGGAGGAGAGGGGAGAAAAAGGGTCTTGATAGGGGCAGGACAGCCACGTGGATGGCGATCTTGATGCGTGAATCCCACGACAGGGGAGTCTCCTTGGCATGCGGGCCTGGGGAAGAGATGGGGCAAGTTACGGGGGGAAGTGGGGGGGAAGGCAGGATAGCCACGTGGATGGCGATCTTTATGCACGAGTCCCAGGAGAGGGGTGTCTCTTCGGCGCTGGAGCCTGGGGAGAAGAGGGGTAGGTGGGGGAGAAGGGGGAGAGTGGGGAGAAGGGGGAGAGGGGGAAGAAGGGGGAGAGGGTGTCAGATTACCATCTTCATTGTAACCTGCATCATCATATAAGCTTTGACTAGAGATAGGCACCCAAACTAAGTTTGGGTGCCTATCTCTAGTCAAAGCTTATATGATGATGCAGGTTACAATGAAGATGGTAATCTGACACAACCCCTTAACCTGCAGAAATCCATAGGCTTTGGAAGAGAGAACGCAACAACCCCTGAATCAGCCACCGCGGGGAGCAAGTCCCTGAAGGCGCAGGAGCGCAGAGTGGTTAGAGCGATGGAGAGCCTTGGTGAAGAGGTCAGCGAGGTTGGCGGACGAGTCGATTTTACGAACAGTGATGTGACCATCTTGCACAAGATCGCGGACAAAGTAGTAGCGGAGTTCGATGTGTTTGGAGCGACCATGAAAGACGGCCTCCTTGGTGAGGTGGATGGTACTATCGTTGTCACACCACAGGGTGGGGCAGGGCTGTGGTGAGCCAAGGTCGGTGAGAAGATAGCTAAGCCAGCGTGCCTCTTGAGCCGCCATGGTGACTGCGTACAGCTCGGCTTCGCAGGAGGAGAGGGCGACGGAGGAGGAGCGAGTGGAGCGCCAGCTGATGAGGCCGCTCCCAAGGGAGAAGCCATATCCTTGAGAACTGCGATGGTCCGGCTGTGCATCCGCCCAAGATGAGTCACTGAAGCCTTGAAGAACAGGTGGGTCCACACCACCAAGCGTGAGGCCATAGTCCTTTGTGCCTTGGAGGTAGCGCAGAACACGCATGGCCGCCTTCCAGTGCTCCTCACCATGCCTGCCAGTGCCAACAAACCGCGCCAGGACACTGACGGGGTATGCAAGGTCGGGACGAGTGCAGACCATGGCGTACATCAGGGCCCCAACGAGTTCTGCATAGGGATGAGGGGAGGTGACAGGAGTGGCTGGAGGGGACAGCCGATGCCCGAATGCAAGTGGTGTGGGGATGGGTTTGGATTTGGACATGCCGAATCTCTCGAGCACCTTCCCGATGTAGAATGACTGAGAGAGGGTGATAGTCTTGGCAGTGAGGTCGCGGGTGATCTCCATGCCAAGGTAGTTGCGGACTTCCCCCAGATCTTTGCAGGCGAGACGTTGCTGCAGCTCATCCTTGACCTCCTGAAGTTCAGCAGCTGTCTCAGCTGCTAGCAGCATGTCGTCGACGTAGACGAGGATGAAGAAGGGTGACGGAGTTAAGCGAAGGAAGAGGCAAGAGGCAGCACGGGAGGGGCGAAAGCCAAGTGCGCGAAGGGTGGATGAGAGTTTGGCATGCCATTCTCGAGGTAAACAGGGCGTAGTAGTTTCCAGACGGTGGCAGGGTCGTGAGGAGCGTGGAAGCCCTTGGGACGTTCCAAGAAGATGAGTTCGTGGAGGTCGCCTTGTAAGAAGGCCGTGGTGACATCCATGGAGTGGAGGAGCATCCCGCGTCTGCCAACGAAGTCCAGAAACACGCGAATGACCGGCGGAGTGGCGGTAGGTGAGTAGGTCTCGAAGAAGTCCGAGCCATAAGTCTGTGTAAAGCCTTTCGCCACATACCGAGCCTTGTAGACAGGAGCTTCACCAGGGAGTAGTTTTACTCGGAAGAGCCACCTGCCTTTGACCACGTTGTGCTTGGAGGGGCGAGGGACGTCGAGGAAAGAGCGGTTGTGGATGAAGGCGTTGCATTCCTTGACCATGGCCTCGATCCAGAGAGGTGCGTCAAGACATGCAATTGCTTGCTCGTAGGTGGTGGGTTCGTAGATGGTGGGGGTGTTGGAGAAATGGAGGACCGTAGTACCAGCCATGGTGCGGACGACAGGGGCGATGGTGGGTGAGAGGAGGTGGAGGAAAAGGAGTTCATCATGAGAGTCTTCATAGAGGTCCGGAGAGAGAGGAGGAGGAAGAGGAGGCGGTGAAGATGCAAGACAGCTGCGCTGGAGGGTCAGGCTGGAGCGGGAACACGGCTGCACTGCTGCTCTGCTGCGCCGAGGGTCGGGGCGAGGAGACAGCTGCAATGCTGCTCTGCTGCGCTGAGTTGCCGTGAGGGGCAGGGAGACGGGAGCGCGGCTGGTGTGAGAACCTGAGGGGCTGGTGCGGGGGAGTGGGGAAGTGCTAGAGTGGTGGAGGAGTGGAATGGATGTGAGAGACTGGAGGGAGAGGTGATTGGACCGTGGGGGACCAAGGATGGGGACTGTGGAGCGGGTGTGAGGGTAGTGACGAAGGAGCAGAGGAGGGGAGGGAAGTAACGGCCGAGATGGTGGAGGGAGAGGGGGCGGAGGAGGAGATGGGGAGGGTGGAGGTTGGGAGGGGGGAGGGGGTGGGGGAGAGTTCAGGGGGGGAGGGGATGGGGAGGGAGAGGGGGGGGTGGGGAGGGAGGGGGGGGTCAGCGGGGAGAGGGGGAGGGTCAGTGGGGGGAGAGGGAGTTACAGCGGAAGGGGAGGGTGGGGCAGCCGGGTCAAGGATGTCCCCTGAGGAGGTTGGGAGAGAGGGGGGAGGGGGTGGGGGTGCGGGTATGACCAGGGTGGGGGGAGGTTGAAGGGGAGGGGTGATGACAGTGTCAGTCCAGAGGAGAGGACGTATGGTGAGGGGGAGGGGGTTAGGGGCGGAGGGGGAGGTGTAGTACGGGTTGGCTTCATCAAAAACCACATCCCGACTACGAATGAGACGACCTGAGGGGGGTGGAGGAAGAGGTAGTCCGGGGAGGTGGGGTTATGACCAATGAAGATGCAAGGGAGGGTGCGGGAGGCAAGTTTCCCAGCTGCACGTGAACGGTCCTCAGGGTGTATGAGAACATACGCCTTGGAGCCCCACACGCGCAGGGGGGAGATGTCGGGTTTAGTGGAGGTCCAGAGTTCGGTGGGAGTAGTGGTGGGCCGTGAGGGATGGGGGTAGAGATTAGTGAGGATGGCGGCGTGGAGGATAGCATAACCCCACAGAGAAGGCGGGCAGGAGGCATGGACCATGAGGCATCGAGCGGTCTTGGTGACCTCCCGAACCCTGCTCTCCGCCACACCATTTTGCTGAGGGGAATGAGGAAGGGTGTAGGTGTGGATAATGCCATGGGTGGAGCAGTAGGAGGAAAGCATCCGGTTAAGGAACTCACCGCCGCCATCGGAATGGAAGCGAGAGACAGGGCGTTTGAAATGGGTGCGTGCTTGTTCAGCCCAGGCAATAATGGCAGCCGGGGCCTCCGCCTTCTTGCGAAGGAGAGAGACAGTGGAGTACCGACTGTGGTCATCTACCAGTATGAGCAGGTAGCGATGACCTTGCCTGGTGGGGGTGGGATTGGGGCCCCAGAGGTCCATGTGGACGAGATCAATGGGTTGGGGAGAGAAGGAGGGATGACTCTTGTGGGGGGCTTGCTTTAGTTTGCTTTCAACGCAAACTGAGCAGGGAGGGGAGGGCGACGGGGGGAGAGGGGGGAGGGTGAGGGGAAGTCCTTCAAGAAGTTGAGAGGAGACAGATTGACGAAGGGTGGCAAAGTTGGGATGACCCAAGCGATGGTGAAGGAGGACGGCGGGATGGGTAAGGTCACGACAGTGACAGGAGGGGGAGGAGGGAGGGGAGGGGGAGGAGGGAGGGGAGGGGGAGGAGGGAGGGGGAGGGGAGGCAAGAGGAGGGGGGGAGGGAGGGGAGGGAAGGGGGGAAGAAGGGAGGAGGGAGGAGGGGGGGAGAGGGGAGGGGGGAAGGGGGTGAGGGGGAAGTAAGGTGGGAGTGGTGAGTTGGTGGATGGAGGGGCGAGGGGTGCGGTATGTGTACAGGTTTGTGTGTGGGCAGAGGGGAATACGACAGATGAAGCGACCAGTGATGGTGTGAAAGAGGTCGCAGTGAAGTGCATGTCCGGGGAAGATGGCGGTGACACCTAACCTTGGGAGGTCACGAAGTGCTACCAGATTGTTGCGTAGGGAGGGGACGTGTAGACCTGTGACTGTGCCTGAGGGGAAGATGGGGCAGGGGAGAGTGGAGGTGTGTCGACTTGTGATGGTGAAGCTGAAGTCGGCTCCGTAAATGGTGGAGGGAGTGGGGAGGGGGACTAGTGTGCCTGCGTCCCGAAGGACAGTGTGTGTAGCGCCGCTGTCAAGAATGAACTCAAGGAGTGTAGAGGAGGAGGAAGAAGCGGAATACTGGAAGGATGTCTCATTAATAGCATGGGCATACATTGAAGGAGCAGGAGAAGCAGTGCTAACATGTCCTATGAATCCAGCAGAAGGGAACGGAGTGAAGCCAGGAGGATTGGAGGAGGAGGAGGGCTGGTCAGTAGGAGTGGTAGCAGGTGGAGGAAGCACAGGGCCGTATTGAGGAGGTGGATAAGGAGGGTATGGCCAGCCGGTATAGGGCGGAGGATAGTGGGGGGGAGGGGCTTGAGGAGGAGGTGTGGGTGAAGGGGGAATGGGAGGGGTGGGAGGGGTGGGAGTGGGAGGAGATGAAGGGAGAAGATGTTGAACTTGCTGGAGGATATGAGGTGGGAGATGCTCAGTGAGGACATTGTGAAGATTAGGGGTGGAGGGTTGATAGGCGGGGAGAGTGCGTATGTCATGGAGAGAGGGGCGCGGGAAGATGGTGTTCCATCGAGGTGGGGTGCCGACATTGCCACGTGCAAACCACTCATCAGTGAGGGCTTTGAAGCACGTGTCAGTGGTGTGAGTGGTTTGAGCGCAAGGCTGACCTTTGTTGGAGCCATAGCGAATGATGTACTGACACGGGGGAAGGGTACCCGAGGGAGAGGGGTTTTTGCCACGCCCACCACGGCCGCCACCACGACCACCACCGCGTCCACCGCCTCGCCCACCACCTCGTCCACCACCGCCACCGCCAGTACCGCTTGAGCCGCTACCTCCGCCGCTGCTGTGGTTGCCTGCGGGAGTTTTGCGAGCCTGGATAGCATTGATGGTGGTGGAGTCACGTTGGATGTCCGCTTCGCTGTCAAGGAGCCAGTCGATTGTGTCAGCCACAGGAGGAGGATGGCGGTACCTAGAGGTAAAGGTGATGCGGTAGGTATCGTATGTGGGTGGAAGGCAGTCGAGGATGCGTGCAGTGAGAAGTGATTCATGAATGACAATGCCGCGGTCGTTGAGACGTTGCGCAGTGTCGATGAGGCGCCGAGTGAAGGCAGCAGCAGTGGGGGATGAGTCAAGAGTGGTGTCTTGAAATTTGCGAAAGAGAGCAAGGAGAGAGCGAAGGTCCTGTCGGTCGTACTGAGTGGACAGGGTTTTCCAGAGGCCAGAGGAGGAGGTGGGGCGGAGGTCACGTTTGAGATGGGAAGGGATGCAGGAGAAGATAATGGCTAGAGCGCGGCGATCCGCAATTCGCCATGCTGCAGTATCCTTGTTGAACTTGCGAAGTTCATCAGCATAGTCTTTCTCATCCTGTGCGTAGGAGAGGATACGCGCAGTAGCATCAGCGTGAGCCTTCTCAGCAGCACGGTGCGCCTCACGCTGGATGGTGTAGGCATCGCGAAGCTTGTTGTAGTTGTTCAAGTTGGCCGCCCATCGATCTGGGTTGTCATCATGAACTGGGGCACGAGGGGGATCAGACAGAGGCTCTGGGGGAGGAGGGGCATCAGGAGGAGGAGGCTCAAGAGGAGGAGGGGGGACGGGTGGAAGGCCGTTAGGGTGCTCAAGAACTACATCAAGAAGACAGTAGTCTTGAACAATGACAGAGCCAAGGTGGGTGTGAAGTGTGTCCTCAAACGACGCCCAGTTCACGGCCGTAGTGTCATGGAGGAGTTCGAGCTTATCGATAGCTCCGAGTTCAATGGGAGTAGAGTCGTCCGCCATGAGGGGGAGGAGGGGGGGGGGGGAGGGTGACGACACCGGCTGGAGGGCGGGTGCGGTCAAAGACGACACCACCTGGAGGGGTGGCGCGGTCACGTTGTGTGCGGCAGCGCTTCGTTGCCCGTGGCTGCACCTTGTCGCATGCGGCTGCGCCTTTGTCGCACGCGGCTGCGCCTCGTCGCCTGCAGCTGTGCCTTGACGACACGCGGCTGCTCCTGGACGCGTCCGCAGCGGTCGCCCTCGCTGGTCGCGTCCGCAGCGTCGCCCTCGCTGGTCGCGTCCGTGACGTCCGCCCGCGCTGGTCGCGTCCGCGGCGTCCGCCCGCGCTGGTCGCGTCCGCGGCGTCCGCCCGCGCTGGTCGCGTCCGCGGCGTCCGCCCGCGCTGGTCGCGTCCGCGGCGTCCGCCCGCGCTGGTCGCGTCCGCGGCGTCCGCCCTCGCTGGTCGCGTCCGCGGCGTCCGCCCGCGCTGGTCGCGTCCGCGGCGTCCGCCCGCGCTGGTCGCGTCCGCGGCGTCCGCCCGCGCTGGTCGCGTCCGCGGCGTCCGCCCTCGCTGGTCGCGTCCGCGGCGTCCGCCCGCGCTGGTCGCGTCCGCGGCGTCCGCCCGCGCTGGTCGCGTCCGCGGCGTCCGCCCGCGCTGGTCGCGTCCGCGGCGTCCGCCCCCGCTGGTCGCGTCCGCGGCGGTCGCCCGTTCTCGTCGCGTCCGCGGCCGTCGTTCGTCGCGGGTGTGGCGTCCGCCCGCGATTAGGGTTTCGTCGGTCGCGGCGGTCGCCGATGCTCGTCGCGGGTGTGGCGTCCGCCCGCGATTAGGGTTCCGTCGCTCGTGCTGGCCGTCCCGACGGTCGCGCTGGTCGTTCCGACGGTTGCGCAGATCGTTCCGACGGTTGCGCGGATCGTTCCGACGGTTGGCGTGGCCGTTCCGACGGTTGATGGGTTAGTGGGAGAGAGGGGAGAGCCGCGAGAGGCGGAATTGACTGTAGAAAGGAGGGAGGGGGGCGCTGAAATTTAGCGCAAGGGGAGGGGGGGGCCGTGACGGCGTAGGGGCGCACTAGGCGCAAAGGGCGACGTAGTGTCGCGTGAGAGAGGGGGGCGTGATATAGCACGCGGTATGTGCGGTCCTTAGGATCGAGATGGTGTGAGCCGTAGTTGCTCTGAATACCATGTGAGAAAGTGTAAGAACAACCGATAGTTTCATTAGGAAGGGCATGGGTTTACATAGTTGAGCTAGGATGTAGGAGCCATGCCAACATTATTGGCCCCCA